GTTTATATTACTTCACCAACGGAACTGTGTTCTATAAAAGTAATATACTCCAACAAAAACTCGAACAAGTTCAATGCTCTCTCCAAATTGTCGGAACTAATAATCGTTTGAACATGAGGATTTGTGGCCAAGCTGGGTTCTATCCTTCGACGTTGGGAAAAATGGGTTGCGTGTGGAATGGGTACGGAATGGATTGCGTCGGTGGTATGGGTAGCCTATAAACATGGCCATTAGCACCGCCTACGTGTTAACTGACAGACAGAGCTCGCTCTGTGCTCGCGTTAGACGCTACTCACTAAACGTACCGACTAACTGTAAAGTACTGTAATTGTTAACGTTTGAGTTTTTCTACGAGTCTATTTGAATTAATAATTGCACTACGAATAGCTTTTACTAACTTTTATTCTGTAAAGCAATTTCAGTTCTAAGAATTTTTATGACAAGCGGAAACCTCCTACTGTTATTTTTTGAAACCAAAATCTCTGTATAAAACAGTGTCATCCCTGTACTTCAACTTTGACAAAACAGAGATAAAAATATCTTTTAAACGAAGATTTTTGTCTTAGAAACCCACGGTAATCTTATTTCGTTTGAAATATTTAATTTCGAAACAATTAGTTCCGAAAACTCGTATTTTGAAAAAAAAAATAAGGAAGGCATACGTAAAACGATAGCCTACTCCAGTCATATCTCTGAGAGTCGTGGCACTATTCACAAATTAAAAAAAATATGTAATCGATTGCCAATGTATCCACTTCATTAGACACTTATTGAGGAAACGGAACGTAAAGAAGTAGATTGAGTCGTTAGAACATCGTATCACACTATGTAAGCAGCACGCGTATGTGATTGATTCCATACTGTCATTTACGGACTTTAATGATAACATTTTCAAGGCATAATAAATAACTGGTACATCAATGTTTACTTATTTATAAAAAAAAACACAAACTGGAAAACACTTGGATAATTTTTTGAAGAGAAAGAATCTGATATCGTCATAGTTAACTCTCTCATTCTACAATTTTACGTCTTTTAATAATTATATATTATAAACTAGCTGTTGCCCGCGACTATGTGATCCAGATTATGTTCTACATCTGTGTAAAATTTCATCAAAATTGAATGGTTCCGGAGATACGTACAAACAAACATCCATCCATCTACACTTTCACATTTATAATATTAGTAAGAAGTATGTTTAGTAAGATACACTGGTCTAGGAATGTACTAAATCCGTTTTAACACTAAGTTATATGTTAGGAAGAAAATCCGACAGTGTGCCGGTGTACTGGCGTAACATTTGCCTTACTAAAATGTCGACGTACTAATCATTCTGACACTTGCTATTCGCGCAGAGGGATTCTAACTATGAATGTCTCAAATATGCAACCGTGTTATGTTAATCAAAGGATTTATCGAGAACAATTTATTTAGAAACAGTTGTATCTGAGGATTAAAAGAAACAAAGCTCTATCTATTACATGTTTAGTTTATATTGTAAAGTTGGCACTCTCGCTTTTATAAGACAGTAAACACTCTTATTCATAGTGCTGAGATGTCTAAACAAAATCCTATGAACAAATAATTACCTTCAATAAATATCCTAACATATTGAGAGGTATTTCCGAGCTAAGATTCAAGCATAGATTTATAAGTACTGTTATACAGTACGAAGCACGTACGACACATTTGAGGGTGTTAACACGGCTCTGTAATATTTAACAGCGTTGTTAAAAATATTACAATGTTTTCACAAGTTACATGTGACTTTTGTACGTTGTGATTGAGACTGTATTGCACGATTCAAACTTTATAACGGCTCGGTAAGGGCACCAGACTAGTGCGCCTTAATAATACATCCTAAAATTGTCTTCTACACATCGTTAAGTATGACATTTACAGACAATTTGCAACAAGGTGAGTAGTAGCAGTAGGACAACAAAGCATTAATTCTTCAGTTGTTGTACTGCACGTTTGTAACGGAAAAGCGACAAGCGGCAAGTCACACGAACGTGCGATATCCAGAGCGTTCCGCAAGGTCATGCAGTCGCCGTCGCTCGTCACGCGTTCCTCAGTGTTGACCGCGGTATATGTCATAAGCGATAGCGGACGACGACAGACTACGAAATAGCTTAATTACGGAATGCAGATTATTTAAAAACTTTGCCGTTGCGTGTGTTTTATAATATAACAAAAATACATTTTTAAGAAAGTTTATTATTTATACAATGGATAAAGGTAAGATTATGGGACACTTCATTTAAAGGTTGGTGTCTATTTTGTCAGACTGTTGTGAGCAATGTGTAAATGACTACGTAATATAAAAACTATTTGTAATTAAAAATTCTAAATAGCGTCTAAATGTCGTCATCATATTAATGTTGTCATGGCAACTCGATGAATGTTTCAATCTGTTAAATATTTATTAAATAAAATTTACAATCGCTGTGAGCTATTAACTTGGGCTATACAGTTCTGGACATAGTTTAAACCGTAATAAATAGCGGAGAAATACGAAACTGTAAACGATGTTTGGCACGATCATGCGCAAACGCAATGCTGGATCAGCAAACTGTCATGTCGCCTTACTTTGCTTTAGTGGAATTTGATAGCTTTATTACTACACACATCAATATTTACAAAACCATACCCTCAATGGCATAATTTGTTTAAATTGATTTTTTTTGAAGACTACTTAAAGGTTAGTTTTGATTTAGCCAAATGTTTATTTGGAACAATATTGGTTTTAGATATGGACAAAGGAGGTTATTTTCATCTAGTATCTTTTTCGAGTAGTGTCTAGATTCATTTAAAATCTTACTAATATTATAAAAGCGAATGTTTGGATGTATGTATGTTAGAAGGTATCTACAGAACGGACCAAGGGCTCTTGTTAAAATTTGGCAAGGATACAAAACATAATCAAACGGAAGAACACATAGGCAACTAATTATTGTTTTTTTTTTAATTCCGCACGTCCTAAGGTATCAAGCCAGTGAGTTACAAAATCTGGTACATAAATGATTTTCTCATAACAATCTTGCGATTGGTAGTGAATGGAAATTTAATCCACGTATAAAATTAACAGAATCGCTACATCATCGCAGGCTTTAGGCCGTCGAATTGAATGTAATAAAGATAATTCACTTATAATGTCAGTGATGGCATACGCTCGGTCCCGGGTTCAATTGAAAAACCATTACATTGACCACCAAATAATGATGATGTACAATGATAGCGCGTTTCGCACAAATCATCCTCATCTTCACACAGCAATTTACAAACTGTGCCATGTGAGACTTTAGTGTGACAAGAGTGGGTTGACACTGTTGAAATTTGCATAAAAAACTAATCTAATCCCCATTTTAAAACACTTCACAGTTAGGATGAGAATATGTTATATTTTACTTAACAAATACTAGCATTTTTCTTATTTATGTATACCTAGTTGTTTTCTTGTACGTGCTCTTCCAGACTATGTTCTACATCTATGTCAAATTTCATCAAGATCCATGCAACTGTTCTGGAGATACCTTTTAACAAACATCCATCCAAGCATTCATCTAAATATTCGCATTTATAATATTAGTAAGATAGTAAGCTGTATGACTAGCTGTCGTGACCCCGTATGCGCGGAATTAAAAAAAAATAATTAATTATTGTGCTCTTCCAGACTATATTCTACATGTATGCAAAATTTCTGGAGATACCTTCTAACAAACATCCATCCATCTAAACTTTTCCATTTATAATATTAGTAAGATAAAAACTTATATGACTTTTTACTTTGTGACTATCAAAATTTGACGTCGTTAATGCAATAAGAAATATCATCAAAAAATATATTTTATGGTTGAAAATGTGTAACAATTACAAACAAGTGTAATTATTTTTAATGTTTAAAAAATAACTTGTCATTTCAAAGCAAGTGAAAATACGATTATACTACAGTACGAGACAAAATGCCTATCATCTTAACCATAATATATTTATTTATTTATTTAAAAACTGCATAGCATCCTTACAGTATACAACCAATTTGACACTATACACACTTTACATGACTGTTTACACGATAACATATTTTATAATAACAGTAAATAACATATAACAATGATAAATAAAAAGAAAAAAAAATACATAGATAAACAGTGCATGAATATATCAACGCGTAACTAAACATCAATATTCAAACGTCTTCCACACATCTGTACGCAGCCTCTGTGAATTTAAATTTTTAATTTTATATCAATACATATATAAGAAAGTCGTGTTAGTTACACTATTTATAACTCAAGAACGGCTTCACCGATATAGTTGAAAATGAGTGAGGAGGTTAAAGCCAGGAGACGGACATAGGATACTATTTATTCTTTTTTTTTCGAATTTATGCCTTGAAGAGCTGCTTTTTATTTAACTTATTTATATATTAAGTTTTTTTAAATATCCACACGGACGGAGTCGCGGTCGATAGCTAGTTTATATTAAAAGATAACAGTAAACAATATAATTATAAATGCATGTAGCTAAACCTTCCCTTGAACAGTGGTCAGTCAACCTTACAGTAGCATTTCTTCGCACCGAGTCTGGCCTCGAAAATTATCGAGTGGTGAATAATTACAAATAATTAGACGCGATATAACACCGTTACTGGTAACAGAAGTTCATTGTCATACATACTGCGGGTTTCCACTGACTAAATATTGTATAAAAACATATTGTTATCCCTCTCGTGCTCTTAAAAAAGGCATATCGTCATCTCTTTCATTTAAAGTGGAGATAACGTCATGTTGCAGTTAAAGTTTCGGTTTAATTTCACGGTTAAGCCTTGACTATTTTGTAATTACGTAGTTCTAAACTATAACGGTTATTTAATATTCCAAATTCAACAGAATTAATTCAAAATTAAAATATGTCAAATTTATGAATTGCTGCTGCGACATATTTGGATTTAAATATTTTGTTTAAAAAAAAATAAGTCTCTTTATCTAACTCACCGTGTAAAATTCCTCGAGCAGTCAATACCTGGAAATAAAATAAATGCAATTAATTAAATTGAAAGCGGTTACGGTCAAAGGCAAGCGCTAAGTGGCTCACATCGCATACAGTTAACGTAACGAGCAAAAACTGCCAAGGAACGGGAGCGGGTCAGCTGTGTCACATCACTAGTTCAGTAGCCTAGCGAACTAGTGATGGGATACTGTGTAGTCGATATCGACAGATACATACACACCCTTGCGTATCTATTATTATGTTTACATGTTCAATAAAACTTGATATAATGAGTGTAAATAGAAATGAAACATTTCACTCTGTGTTTTTTTTAAAACAAGAACAAAACATAAGTAAATTAAAACGAACATCCTGTATTACATTCTTACATTAAAACAAAAGAAACTTGGACTGTTATTTGTTTAAAAAGGAATTATAAGTGGTAATGAAAGAAATCGAAGTTTGTCTTATTACAATTGTAAAAATATCGATAATTTTACAAGACAGCGTTCGCAACACTATTCAATTCTTGTTATCAATTTAGATGAATTGATATAACAAGATTGAATGTCCGCGGCCATACATCATGAAATCGGATCGTTACGGCTCTCTTTCAAACGCCAAATAACAAAAAGAGACAAATGTATTTCGCAAAGTTTGTCAGTGATAGATTAGACGGAATTTCAGCAATGTTCATGGCAGTTAATTAGAAATAAAGTCGATAACCAGGTTAACATAAATTATCTGTTTTTTTACACATATTGCTTCTACCACATGATAATTCTGTTAAACTGTTTAAAGAGGCTTAAACATTTTTTGCCTATTTCGTCTATAAAATCTTTACCACTGCATGAAAAACCATACTGAAAAAATCAGGTAAAAAAATTGTCAAACAAAATTCACAAAAGTTAAAAAAATAATTCAAAGGTGACACAACCTAAAAGACGATGTTTGATAAGCCTAATCGATCTCAAGGACGAAAGCTGGTGCATTTACCTCACAAAGATGGCAGTTTATTGACTTTGGTAGGAGGCGCATACATGTTTTTAGGGTTACCAGTATACAAAACGTTCCTAACATTTCCCGAAAATCAATCAAAGCATTTTCAACGTATGACCTGAGTCTTAATTCCTTACCATTTAAATGAATACATCCAAACAATAGCAAATTAACCTACATGTCATAACGTCGTGATATATGGCAATATTAAACTGTGCAGATGCTGATCTCTCATTGGTCAAAATATGACGCTGTCAAGATGACATAATTAGTTCACATATTTTCAGACTGCAATAAGATCAGTCGGCTGAGGGCCGCGTCCGCGAAATAATACCAGTCCCACTCACCCTGATGAAGGGCCCCGATGGGCTTGAAACAAGTCGGTGCCGCCACCGGACGAGCATACGTGTTTAGCCGTTTTTATATAAGTTTATTATAATGGCTCACGAAAGTTTGAATAATTAAACTACAATAAGATCTTTGTGGAATCTACTAGTAGTACAGAATAGACTGAGGTTTGAGTTCCATTAAGTAAGATTTTATCGATGCACACATTATTGCAAGCGTGGGAAACTACCGACCTTGTTTATGTAATTCTTGTGTACGCTTGTTCACACAGATTATATTTTATTCGAGTTTTTTATTTGGCTTTTAAACATAGCATTATAATTTGGTTTGTTTTTCTCACAGGTTTCCCTTTCGTACGAGGTCTTACTTAACTTTATGACAAATATCAAATATAATAAGTTTTTGTTTAACTGTGTGTATATAAAATTATATAGTGTTTTTAAAAGACACTGGTTGGTCCAAAGTCTTGAATGACCTCTGGGATCTATGGAAGAATTTAAGATGTCGAGAAATACATTTGGAGTACTTCTTTTTGAAGTTTGGGAATCTCTGGTTGAGCTGCATTTAAGAAAGTATTCATAAAAGTTTGAAATCCGGAGTCAATAAACCTCATGATTACAGTAAGTGTGACCAATTCCAGTAGCATACCAGCATACTGGAACTTTATCATATTCTAGATTATTCTAGGCACGTACTAGTTTGTCCGGGAGGCGGTCCACTAACGGCCGCGCGACACAAACGCGCGACTATTAAGCCAATTACGAGTGCAGCGGCGGCGAAAAAAACGCTCACTCGCACGCGCTATGTGTGCCACTGTGTCGCCATGACTACTGAAAACCGAGGGACATTTATGGAGTGACATCATGTAAATAAATAAATAAGCTCTAATCAAGACTACATTACCGTAATTGGATGGTTGGCAGAAAGAAATTATGAATATGTATACCTTGCCTTATTTGAGTCAAATAGTGATTATCAAGTCTCGCATTACTAATATAATTATAACAGGATCAAACATTTTTTATAACAGTTTTATAATCAATTCTTTCATTTAAATAACCAAAGAAATAGGTACTGTTTATGGGAATAGAAAGCCTTATAAGGGCACGATTTTATATTAAATGTCATTGAATTAAAATAAAATAAAAATTCAATTTCGATATTCAAATAAAAATACTAAAGTGTACATATCCGATTAAATTTAAAATAATGGTCACCATATGACGACAGCCGCGCGCCTCAGCGACGGCGAGAGTGGGCGAGGCGACAAAAAATATAACGACTTCACATTTCAGCAGATAATTTTTTCATACGTACATTCAGGATTTTCATTCATGGACCAGATCATTCATTATACATTTACATTGATAACAAACTTTTGTCTGTCTCAAATATTGTTTTTTTTGCTATAACCGTCTCGGTCTTACGGTGAAGAAAAACACCGTAATTCAACCTGCACACATCTGCGAAGTAACACAAAAATCAACCAATCTGCACTAGGCTAGCATTGTTCACTTGTCACCCCTAACTTTAGGTAGGGTTGAGTAACACTAATTTGCCCTGTACCTTACGCTTATATGTTAATGACCGAGTGTATATGTTAACAGTACATACAGAAATACCATAGCAATGTTACGGTACACAATATGCAGTGGGGCCACGTAACTGACGGCTATAAAAGTGTTCGGCACGCGCACTGGGTCAATCCGCGCGACTAATTTCACCACACGAACGTACGTATGGGCACAGTGTTAGCGGTTAGCGGATTAATGTTTTGTTTTAAAAACGAATATTGACATTTTTTTTACATATGTTTTCACATATCTTGTGAATTCTACGGATTATATTTTTATGCTGATACTAGCAGTCGCTGCGACTCCGTCCGCGCGGAATAAACAAAATAGCCTATGTGTTCTTCCAGAATATTGTCTACATCAATGCCATGTTTCAGCAATATCCATGCAGCCGATATAGAGATATCTTCTAACAAGTCCATCCATCCCACCATATAAGCTTTTGCATTTATAATATTAGTTAGATTAGATTTAATAATCACGAAACAATTGGAGTCCTATAATTCGTATTCTTTATTTAAATTTTGTTTTTTTTTTGACTAGAATCTAAAAGGCTTGCACACATGTTTTGCAACATTTCAAAGAGATGCAATTAGGCGCCATAACACAAATCGCTCGTCGCATCCCGCTAACACTCCGCCCCCGCGTGGCGCCATACTAAAATAGCCCCGCCATTAAGTCGAGCAGCGTATGAGTGATGTGGGTAGATAGACAATTTCGGGCGTTATGCGATCGCGTCACGACATCTTATTGTGTCACTAGTTGTTAACCGTTAACTTGGTCTATGGCGTAACTTTAATATAATTAATTACTCTGATTTAGGTCATTAAGAAACAGAAGAAACAGAACAATTTCAATGCAATTGACCTTCGATAAAGAGACTGACATTCAAAAAACTTTTAATCGTATACATTGATATTTATTTTTTTACCCACTCTCTTATCGTTGATTTGTGAGGCCAAAACTCTTATATAAAACATCCTAACTGTCGCCCGCTTCACACTTGACTTCGTCCGCACGGAATTTAAAAAAATTATAAGTAGCCTATGTGTTCTTCCAGACTATGTTCTACATCTATGCCAAATTTCAGCGAGATCCATGTAGCCGTTAAGGAGAAACCTCTAAACAAACAAACATTCACCTATCCATCTAAACATTCGTATTTATAATATTAGTAAGAAGTAGAAAAGTAGTATTGTTCTCTGTTTTGTCAAAGATTATGAGAGGAATGAAGCTTTATAAAGGAATTTTGCTCTCAGAAACCAAAGATTAGTAATCTATAATATATTTGGTTTCCTTAACACTTTGTTCCAATAATGTTACTAAGGCGTATAAGTTTGCATAAAGACGAAGTACAAAGTGAGAACGGTCCTTTTGAACTGTTATCATACAAGAATGCGACCATCAGATATTAATATGCAAAACAAGCGCACAAAGGAATTCGAAAGTCGCTCGAATCCTATCATAAAAATAATAAACATTACAACACAATGTCTGTCCGTGCATACAGGAATAACTGAGCTTAGATAAAACATCTAGAACATTTGCATTGCTTGCAACATACTCTCTTAAACCTTATTTATGTAATACGTAAGAAAATATAATATGCTCCTTTAAAAGCGCAAAAATGTTTGCTAAAGGTGTATAAAAACTATTAAGTTATTTTTCAATTCTGCGCGTATGGAGTCGTGGGCGACAACTAGTTCAAATATACGTATTTAAATTCATTTTATGAATCATTCTGTATGTTGGTATATAAGTCAAGGATGGCGAACCAATGACACGCGTGCCATATCAATACGGGAAAATAGAAAGGAGTGATCCTTACGCTACAGAGTGTTTTAAATAATAACAAAGATAAAATTATTTGATGGTACGTCTATGACATAATTAATCACCATCATCAGCTCACTGTATGTTTCCACCGAGGAGGCTCGGAGCCTACCCTAAGTTAAGAGTGATTAGGCCATAGTCAACCACGCTGGCCAAATGCCGGTTGGTTAATTAATGATGCCTTTAGAAAAATGGCACAATGATGTGAACAGTTTGGTCATCCCTGGATTGCGATCATGTAATTTTGTAATAAAAAGTGTAAAACAGTACTGTGTTTCA